TCCCCAGCGCGCTCTCCCCTCATATTGTCCTCATCGTCCGTGCCCTCGCTCTCCACATGATTCCTCTTCCTCCCCTTCCTCGCCCCTCTGGCCGTCGAGCTCCTCACCCCCCGTCGCCTCATTATCATGTTCCTTCTCTCCTCGCCCACGTCCCCACCCCCCCTTCCCCTCGCCCTTTCCATTCCACATCCTGCTCATTCGCCTCCCGCTCATCATCTGTCCGACGACGACGACGACGACGACGACGACGACGACGACGACGACGACGACCTCCCCCCACGCCATTTTTGTTTGTGTTTTATTATCCCTGGCCTTCATGGCTTCGTCGTAGCCGAGGTCCCAGCCGCCGCTCGTGTCGAGGACTGCCAGGTCGCGGCTCTTCGTCTTCACGTTGCCCTTGTCGTTGCCCTTGTCGTTGTCATTGCCTTTGTCCGTGGGCGTGGCCTTCTTCTCGTCGTTGCCCGTGTCTTGGCCCTTGCTCTTGTCATTGTCGTTGCCCTTGTCTTGGCCCTTGCTCTTGCCATTGTCCTGGAAGCTCTGCGCCCACCGCGGTACACTGTGGGCGGCGTTGCTTTCTTATCCCTTCCACCGCCCCTCCTCGTTCTTGCCCGCCGCCTTAATCCTGGCCTCCATTTCCGTCCACGTCGCTCCACCTCCACCTCGTCATCCACCCTCTTTGTCACAATCCCTTTGCTTCCCGACACCCAATCGCACTCGTCATCACCATCCTCGTCCTCGTCGTCGTGCGTTTCCACTCCTCCTCATCATCGTCCTACCTTCTACTCCTCATCCCACCCCTCCTCCTCATTCCTCCTCCCCCTCGCCCTCCTCCTCCCCCTCGTCCTACTCCTCCTCCTCGCCCTCCTCCTCCTCCTCCTCCTCCTCCTCCCCCTTTCTCTCCTCCTCTTCCTCATCCCCCCCCCTCCTCCTAAGTGTCCTCCTCTCTCTCCCATCCTCCTTTCTCCTCCTCCTCCTCCCCGTCTCCCCCTCCCCCCTCCTCTTCCTCCTCCTCCCCATCATCTTCCTCCTCCTCAGCATCCTCCTCCTCTTCCTCATCCTCCCCCTTCTCCTCCTCCTCCTCCTCCTCATCTTCCACCACCTCCTCCTCCTCCTCCTCCGCCTCCTCCTCCTTTTCCTCCTCCTCCTCCTCGTCCTCCTCACCCTCCTTCCCCCCTCTTCCTCCACATCTCCCCATTTCTCTCCTCCTCGTCCACTCCCTGTTCGGGGCCCGCTGCCTCTTCCCCTCGCGCGGCGCCAGCGCGTCTCGGACGTGGCTCAGCATGGCCCTGATCCGTTTCGCCCGTACTCCTGCCCATTTCTTCAGCTCCAAAGACAAGTGCCACTCGCCCTCCTTGTCGCGCCCGATCGCCTCGAGCGCTGCCTGGCGGGGGAGGGAGATGCGATGGAGCCGAAGAGTAGGTTGAGGAGGGGAACCACGACGATGGCTCGACGGGGATGGCGATGGAGCCGAAGTTGAGGAGGAGAAGCAGCAGCAGCAGATGGAGGAGGAGGGCGGGCGAGGTGGGGCAACAACGGGCCCCCCAGTCGTGCCAGAGGGCACCCCGCCTGTGCCAGAGCCTCATCCCACCCTCCCTCTGTCCCTTTCTCCTTTCCTCTCCCTTTTCCCACCCGCGTCCTCCCCTCCCCCCCTCCCTCTCTCTCATTCCCCCCTCCCTCCCTCCCCCTCCCTCCTCCCCTCCCTCCCCCCTCCCCCTCAAACATTCGACTCGCCCCCATCCCTCTTCCGACCCGCTCCCTTCCCTCATCGCCGTCCCTTAAGTCGCCTCGCCCATCCCCTCACCCCTCGCCCCGCGGAGCCTTCGCTGCCTCCTGCGTCACGTTCGCCTTCCCCAACGCGCGGGTCGCGACCAAGAACTCCTTGAAATGAATCAGCACTGCCTGGTCTTTAGGGCTCGACGTCGCCTCGCCGTAGTCCAGGTCGAATATGTCCCCAGCGTACGGGCTCCAGACCTCCTTCAGCTTCTTCGCGTCGGAGAAGCACGTGTCGCGAGGCTCGGCCTGCGGGCGAGGGGCCGAAAATCATCCGGCGGATTCCCCCCAAGTCACCAAAAAGGGCACGTACGTGAGTGAGGTTCCAACGCGTTCCAACGCAATTCCAACGCGTTTCCAACGCGTCGGAACTGCAGTTTTTCCGAGCCGCGCCCAGCCGCTGCGAAGAGGAGGGCCCCCGAATGCAATAAAGCATCGAACCTCGCCGTGAACCCGCCTGCATCCTCCTCTCCACGTCCTCCGCGTTCCCATCCACCACCCCAACATTCCTCGCCCATTGCATCCATGTCACCCCCTCGTGCCTCCATCGCCGTCGCCGTCGTCGTCGTCGTCGCCGTCGTCGTCGTCGTCGCCGTCGCCGTCGCTGTCGTCCGTCGCCGTCGTCCGTCGCCCGTCGTCGTCGTCGTCGTCGTCGTCGTCGTCGTCGTCGTCGTCGTCGTCGTCGTCGTAATCGTCGTCGTCGTCGTCGTCGTCGTCCGTCGTCCGTCATCCGTCGTCGTCGTCGTCCGTCGCCCGTCGTCCGTCGTCGTCCGTCGTCCGTCGTCACCGCCATCGTCGACATTTCTCCGAAGCCCCCCCATATCGGTTTAGCTGCGCCCGTGATGCCTTAATACAGCCAATCGCCTTCGCTCGATGAATCGCCGTCGTATAACAATCGTCGTCGTGCTCTGCGCTCGTCTGCAATCTCCTGGTCCTCAGGATGCAAGGGCAGCACCCACATGGCGAACTGCCACCGAACAAGCCTAGGAAGGGCCGCCCCGCGCATCCCAGACATCGTCTCCAAGAACGCGGTTTCATCCCATGAACCACAAATCAATGAACATGACTGGGCACGTGTTCTGGAGCACGACGGCTGGAATGCTGGAGGCCATCCAAGACCGACTGCACATGCGCCACTCGCGACAAACAGAAATGCGGATAAGCGTTTTATGGTGTTGGATGTCATCGGGCGCATCCCCCCTAGGCGCGGACATCTCGGGCCAAGCAGCTAAACCTATATGCCTGCTGTTAACGCGTAAGTATCCTACATGTTGTTTTCCCCTCGTTATCGGCGTCGGCATCGAGAATCCGACGCGCGGGCGTTTCCACCGATAGACGCGGGAAGGTGACGACAGTTGCACGCTTGATAGGAGGTCGCGTTTTGGTGCACATGTATTTCCTCAGCTGAGCTCTCCAACGCTACCCGCGGGGCCTGCTTGGACCCGTCGTTGTCGTCGGCTTTCCTGCCGCCGCCCATCGCGCGGCCTCTCGCGGCCTCTTGGCCGCTGCCTCGCGGCGCCCCTGCCGCTGCCTCGCCGCCTCCTGGCGGTCCCTGCCGCTGCCTCGCCGCCTCCTGGCGGTCCCTGCCGCTGCCTCGCCGCCTCCTGGCGGTCCCTGCCGCTGCCTCGCCGCCTCCTGGCGGTCCCTGCCGCTGCCTCGCGCCTCCTGGCAACGGCTGCGCCACCGCCTCGTTGCCGCCCGCGGCTCGCGGGCGCGCCGCGGGCCAGCGCCGCGAGCCGAGCCGTTCAGCAGAGCCGAGACGTTGCGAGCGGGCGGGGGGGAGAGCGACATTGCCGCCATTCGCACACGCAAGATGCACGTGTTGGTGGCATCGTGCGTTATGCAGACGAGCGCGCACGCACGCGCGCACACACGCACACACGCGCACACGCACACAACACACACACACACACACACACACACGCACACACACACACACACACACACACACGCACGCACGCACGCACGCACACACACACACACACACACACACACAAAACGGGTATGTATGACACGCCACTCACGTCAACATGCGCCGCGCATTCCCCCGCATCACAAAGACAGCACGTCCGCCCCGCAATTTCCTTGACGGTGGGCCGAAATCCCGTTGACAACACACGAAGACGCAGCGAAATCCGAGTTCTATTGTGACTACATGAACATGTTGGGATGTATGATGGTTTTGTGACAAAACAATGTTGTTTTGAACCGAAGTGAGCTGCATTTTAAGTATGATGATATTTAAATACAATAAATGCACGAGCACCTTACATTATGCAGTTCTAAGTACTTTATGAAGTTCTTGTGCCGGACCGGAGATTTTGCAGTCTTCGGACCAAAGGGTCTCAAGCGAGGGCGCCGGTTTGGGATTCGTCACCGGATCCAGCGGATCCAGCGGATCCAGCGGATCCTGTCCGGAAACGGTGCCGGAGGCCGCTCTGGGCTCCTCTGGGCACCTCCCCCGGGGCCGGTTTTGTGAGGATGTCTCAAGCGAGGGCGCCGGTTTGGGATTCGTCACCGGATCCAGCGGATCCAGCGGATCCAGCGGATCTGTCCGGAAACGGTGCCGGAGGCCGCTCTGGGCTCCTCTGGGCACCTCCCCCGGGGCCGGTTTTGTGAGGATGTCTCAAGCGAGGGCGCCGGTTTGGGATTCGTCACCGGATCCAGCGGATCCAGCGGATCCACCGGATCTGTCCGGAAACGGTGCCGGAGGCCGCTCTGGACTCGTGCTCTTCGCGCCGGGGGTGAGGATGACGTGAGTTCCACAGAAACTCCCTCAAATCAACATCATCGTCATCATCATCACCATCAGCATCCTCATCATCATCGGCACCATCATCATCATCATCATCATCATCATCATCATCATCATCATCATCATCATCATCATCATCATCATCGTCAGCATCAGCATCGTCATAATCATCCTCATTATCATCACCGTCATCCTCATCATCATCGTTATCAGCATACTCATCATCATCATCATCATCATCATCATCAATGTCGCCACCACCATCATCATCAGCATTGTCTGTCCAATCAGCATCATCAACATCATCAACATTAACAACATCGCCATCCGTATCACCACCAGCATCATGATCAGTTCCACCGCCACCATCATCATACTAATCATCCGCGTCGATGTCATCCGCATCGTCAGCACCATCATTAGCATCAGCACTGGCGTCAGCATCACTACCTCACAACCCTGATTCGTTGTCTTGTTGGCTCAAGCGGCCAGGCTTTGGAGGCCACTCAATGTAGCATGTTGCCACATATCTGCCTCATACACACTGGTGCCAAAGCGCGACGGCATGGGCAGGAGTGGCGTCTTTCACCCTAGGTTCATGGCTCTGCGGGCGCTGTTTTTCCCACTCGCAGTCTCCTTGGACACCAAAGACATTCATATTCATGCTGAGCCGGGCTCAGGCGTCGCCCAGCGAGCCCCTGGCCAGTGCGAGACCCGCGTGCACGAGCTGGCAATGGGCATCGCGGCCGAAGTCCGCGACCTGGCCACCATGGCGCAAGAGATGCAGCTCTCCACAGGAGGAGCGGCGCAGCCCTTCGCCAGGCAGCTCCTCACGATCGCCACCCGCATCGCAGCCAGGCTCGACCAGCACCAAGGCGCGCGTGGCGCGCTGGTGGCGCCCGAGATCACCCTCACCGTCTCTCCCGTCTACTGGAATGCTACTGGCGCTTCGGCGCATGGTGAGGCGGAAGGCGACCCCGAGACGCGCCGTGGAGCAGAGGCGAAGGTCGAAGAAGAGACAACCGCGCGAACATATCTTGCCGGATCTCGGTGCGCTTTTCTCAGGTCGGAGCTGGGGCCCCCTGGCGGCGCCTCTGGCCCCGCCCCTGGCGCGCTCCGCGCGCCAGGGAGGGGGGGGGGGGTCAGCGCCGATCCAAGAACTCCGCGCGGACCTCCGAAAGTTTATGCTTATGCTGTTTTTCTTCTTCTAGGAAGATGGCATCGTGCCCCACCGTGACCCTAACTTGCCAAAGGACTGGGGAATACGCTCCCCAGAGGGGGGCAGCGACCACTCCGCGAAGTGGGACATTTGGGTCGACGAAGGAGTTGCCAGTCACGTATTCGCGCTCGTTTTCATCGCCGTCGTTGCCTCGGCACCCATCGTCCCACACCTTCGGAAAGGCGCCGAGCGCCCGACCAAGGCACACCTCTGCGAGAGTTTCTGCTTATTCGTGTGGCTTTTCAGCGGTCTCTACTTGTTTACCCGTGTGCTCGTGTTCCAGTCTCCACATTTTGAAAGCAACCGGACATTGCGATTGGAAGAGTCCGTGTATTTAATTTCGCAGATAGTAACTACGGTTGGATATGGAGATATTACGCCAGCGGAGGTCTCTGGGCAGTTAGTCGTTGGCGTTTACGTGTTCCTGGCCATCATTGTGATCAGTAAGATCGTTGGTGATCTTGTGAGCATGTTCGAGAACGCGATTGAGGACACTCTTCTGGATGATGTGGACGAGGCGACGCTGCAGACCCATCAGGAGAAGCTTTGGGCCGCATTCGTTCCTGTCATGCAGAGCGGCGGGGTATTCTTGTTGTTCATGCTCTTGGGAGCGGTCTTCTTCTGCATGTATCCTGGCGAGGACAAGACGCTGGGGCAGGCGATCTACATGTCGATGATCACTCTCTCCAGTGTTGGTTTCGGAGCATTCACACCCGTGACTCGTGGAGGCACTAACCAGCCTGAGCCGCATCCCTACCTCAAATGACTGGCATTTCCCCATGTCGGTGCAACGCTTCAGCAGTTCCCCAGTTTCCGAGTGAACATCCCTAAGGTTGTCATCGACTGGGGCCTGCCAACTTCAGTCGAAGAACACAGAACTGCAGAAACATAAACTTCCGGAGGTGTCCGCGCGGATCTCTCGGAGCGGCACTGGGCTCCCCTCGGCGGCGCCTTCGGCGCCTCCCGTGGCGCGCTCCGCGCGCCAGGGATGGGTGGTGCAGCGCCGCTCCGAGAAATCCGCGCAGACCTCCGAAAGCTCGGGTTTATGCAGTTTGTTGTTCCTCCACTTAGGGATGGGGATGAGCTTGAGGCTGGTCAGGCATGGTGTTTGGGGCGTACTGGATGCTGTTCGGCGTGGGCTCGCTCGGAGCGCTGGTCTCTGCGCGGGTGGCGTTCACCTCTGCGCTGATCCGCTACGAGAGGGACAATGACGTCGAGGACGCCGAGGGCAAGTCAGGCATGCCGTTCAGCCGAAAGGACGCCGTTGCGTGAAATCACGGAGGTCGAAGAACAAATAACTGCATACACATAATCAAATCAGAGAAAATCTCCAATCAGTGGATGGTTTGATCGATGAGGAGATCGACCGGGAACCCGGGAACCCGGAACCCATCGAATTCGGCCCGGAACCAGCAACCAGGAGCCCGGGAGCCCGGAACCGGGAAACCGGGAGCCCAGCCAGCCACCAAACTCGGCGGGAAATATTCACCAAATCTCAGCCACGCGCGGAGGGGGGTGGGGGGAGGGGGGAGGGCTTCTTAGAAGCACCCCTGCTTTTTTAGAAGGCGCGGGCCGTATCTATAGATGTGAGGCCGGCGCCTTCTCAGAAGCAGGCCTCCTTCTAAGAAGCCCCCCCCCCTCCCCACCCCCTTGTGCGCGCCGCCAAAAATCTTCCAGTTTCCGCTACTCCAGATTTCGTAATAAAAGGGAGGGGGTCTGGACCCTCCAAGACAAGCCATTTCAGACTCCCCCCCGTGGGAGAACCCTCCAAAACATCGTCCCCAGACCCCCCCAGGCCCTGCAAGATAGCCTGGAAAAGACCCCCCCCCGAAATGAGACCCCCCTCCCTTTGTTACGAAATCTGGAGTACAGGACCCCTTCGGTGCAAGCGCGGATTGGGGGCATTTCCAGGGAGGCCTGCGCGGAGTTCGGGGGCCGGGGCTCGGCCCCCCCGGGCGGCGCCAGAGGCGCCGCCCCCCCTGGCGCGTTCGCCGCGCGCCAGGGCTGGACCTATAAGCGGTGTCGTGGCGATTTCGTGGGCCGTTTTCTCGGGTCGGGCGAAAGGGTTTGCTGCATGCAGCTGGTTTCGGCCCCACCGAGGGGCCCATTCCTCGATACATCGCCGCCTCCGGCGCCGGGAGGCGCCGGGAAAATCAGCTACTTGAGCTGATTCTCAAACCCCCCCTTTGCTATCCCCCCCTTTCGCCCGACCCGATTTTCGTTTCGACTGCGGTTTTGCGACAGAGGTGGGTTGAAGGACAAAACGAGGGAAGACGCAAACAAAATCATGCGAACGGAGTTCCCCACATGAAGAGATTCACGGTTTCGTGGGACCCATGGGGCACGACAACATCAACACGAAGGAGAAGCTCATCGAACGAGTAAGTACGCACGAAAGGGCAGAGGAAAGAAAGGAGGAGGGAGGACAGGTGCTCAGGAGGAGGGAAGACGCAAACAAAACGAGAACGAGAAGCACCGTTTAGGTTCAGCCCTGCCGCGCGCCAGGGGAGCGGGGGGCCCCCGCGCCGCTCCCAGACCAGCCGCGCGGGCCGTCGAGAGTTGGTGTGTGTGTGTGTGCCGTTGCTTCTGCCTCTTTTAGAGCGAGGTCGGGAGGAGCTCTCGCCGGCGATCCCAAGGGTCTAGGAGCGGATAGGTCAGCTTCGGAGCGCTGTCACCACATACGGCTCGCTATCTTCGTCTGAGTTGGGGTTCGACGCTCATGTAAAACATGCTCGTCATGATCATCATCATCATCATCATCATCATCATCATCATCATCATCATCATCATCATCATCATCATCATCATCATCATCATCATCATCATCGTCATCATCATCGGCACCATCATCATCATCATCATCAGCATCCTCGTCCTGGTGCTTTCTAGCTACGGGTTCCGATCGCTTCCCCTTTCTGGATCAATCTTGCCAGGGTTTCAGGGGGAAGATGGGGCAATCGATCACAATGCTCGCGGGTAGTTATGGGCGCCGAGGGGCCCCTGGTAGAGAGCGTACAGGGGACGGTACAGGACAGAGAACGGGAGACATGACGCAAGAAACAAGAGAAGGTCGCCTGGAAATAAAGCACCACAGCAGCATCTCCACAGCCTGGAGGCCTGGCGGGCGGCGGGTACGCACATGCATGCCTGCATGACTTACTGAACACGCTTCCAGAGCACATGCACGAAGACATGGCAGTCATAGGTGCAATCAGGTGACTCACTTCGTCAACATGCGATGCACATGCGATCTGTGTGTAGTATCGTGCCCATCTTGGATCCTGCATTGGCAATGGTGGAGGCTATTTGGGCGTAGTGATTGTGACCTCTTGGGTTCCTTGTCCTGGGCCATTGGCGTGTGGGGCACATGAAGGGACCTGGGACTTCCTTGGAGTGCCGGGGAGGCTATGGAAAATCTTGACGCTTCGCGTATCCCCACCAGCTAATTCGCTGCAGCCCCGATTCACACACCTGGTGACTCAGCTCCCTGGTATTTGCACGCTTGCAGCTCCCTGGCCGCCCCAGCAGCTTGCAGTCCCCAGCCCCGGCACTGCCCCGCAGTCATGGCGCTGCGTCTTCCTCCGGCGGTAGGCCCTGCTCTGCTCCGCGCTAGGCAATTAGCTCCCCGCGCAGCCCGCTTGGACCTTACCCGCCGCTGGCGCTCTCGCCTGCGGCTGCTAACAAGAAAAATAGCCCCACCAGCTTTCACTCACCATTTTGGTGTGCATCGTGGACTTCTTTGTCTTTCTCGGCCGGGCGGACTTCCTGGACTTCGTCGGCTCCGCCGCCTGGGCCCCGCGTAGCGCGCCCCGGTCGCCGTGGCTCCTGCTTAGGCCGTAAGTTAGATCGTTGCGTTGTTGCTTCGTTTCTGGACGGCGCGCAGTTGCTCTGCGTCCCTCGCGAGCAAAACGGTATCCCCACCAGCCCATGCAGAAACGATCAGCAGGGGAGTCGGCGAATCAGGGGCGGCAGGACGCATACAGTTGCGCAGCCGTCTTCGGGAAAACACGGATCACAAAGAGCTTGCGGTATTGAGGTCTAAGAGATGGAAATCAGTGCAATCTACGATGGTGCTTCGAGGAGGGGCGAGGGGTGTTTCGGTGACTCGTAATGTCCGTTCAACTGAATTGTATCATAAACTCGCGTGCGTTTCAAAACTTGGAGCCATATTGGGGCTTTTTGGGGGTTCTCTTGGGGCCCCTCCTGGGGCCCACCTGAAGCTCTTTTTTGGGGCTCTCTCGAGGTCCTCTTAGGGCCTTCTTGGAGCCCTCTTGGGGCTCTTCTGGGGCGTCTTAGGGCCCTCTTGGGGCTCTTTGGGGGGGGGGGGTTGGGGGCCTTCTTGTAATTTTCTGTGATGCCTGAGGGGTCTCTTCGGGCCGTATTGGACCCTTTCGCTGGAAAGAATGGGGGGCCATCTCGCACTCTCTGAAGCCCTCTTGGAGCCATCTTGGGCCGAAAAGGGCCCTCTGACACTTCGCGGGGGAGCCAGTCCAGACGCAGGAAGGGGGGGAGGTAAACCTCCCGAGCAGGGAAAAAACAGAAGTGTAAAAACAAGCGCTCTAGACCACCTGCGCCCAGAGGGCTGGTGGGATTCAGTGGGAACGCTCTGGGAGGTCCTGGCCTGCTTTGCGAGGCTAGGCCCTGATTGGGCGGCTCTGGAGGGCCGCTGGAGGGTCCTGGTTGCTCTGGAAGGCCTCGGGGTGTGCTGGGGGGTCCTTGGGGGCCAGCCCTGGGAGCGCGGTCCCACCACTTGGTGCGAGGTATCTTTGCTTCTGAAAAAGAATCCCCCACTTCCCCATCCAGTGCCTGCCCCGAGGCATTCAGTTTTACGTTACTGTTGGGAATCGGTTTGGTTGGGCTGGTGCCCAGTTGGTGGTCGCCTCGTGGGCGCCTCATGTTGGTGAGTGTCCCAGATTTCGCAGAGTGCCCGCCCGTGGGCGCCTCGTGGGCGCCTCGTGCGCTGGATGGGCGTGCCAGGGTTGGGCCTGGTCCTGGTGCCCGCCCGTGGTGGGCGCCTCGTGCGCTGGGTGGGTGTGCTGAGGTATCGCCCGGTGCCCGCCCGTGGGCGTCTCGTGGGCGCCTCGTGCGCTGGGCGGCCGCGCAGGCTGCACCACACAGCTCGCAAATCGTCTGCGCCACACCGCTTGCACAGCTTCAGCCACGATTGCACCGCACAGCCTGCGCCACATAGTTTATATCACGTAGTTCCACTGCATTCGTTCTAACCGCATAGCTTACACCACCTGTATTATACCACATCGCCTAAACCACACAGGATGCACCACATAGATTACATATTGACGGTGTACTCTTTTTGGGATTGGAGTCCCCTGTGGCAGACATGTTTCAGACGGATGGCTGCCCCAGGAATGCGGACCAGTGCATTTTTTCGAGAGGCGTGGTCGTGAGAGAGCAGGGCCATTTCATTCCATGGGGTCGTGGCTGCGGGAGTGCAGATCCACAGCATTTTGTACGGGGTCGAAGCCCTTGGAGAACGGATCTACAGTCGGCCCGGATTAGTAGGTCGGCCATGCCAAATCAAGTGTACTTTTGTGTCCTGTGTCTCGCGACCCGTGCTTCCTGCATTCCTTTGGCAATGTGACCCTCGGAAGGGTCTTATGTCCTCTCGCGAGTCCTGTCCAATGACGTCCGATTGTATTACTCTTCTATGGGGCGGTCTTGGGCGTGGAAGCGCGAGCCCATCTGCGAGCGCCCTTGGCCAGTGGGGGGGAGTGCGCGGATCCATGATGTGGCGGGAGGCGTGAAGCAGGTTCCGTGTGGATCCGACGCCCGGGTGCGCGCCTTCCCGAAACAACGTCAGCCCTCGCACGACGGGAGACGCGAAGCGACTCGCGTGAATTGTACAGCGGGGGCGCGCATCAAGAAACCATCTGCTTTTCGTCAGGGTATCCTGGGTTTCTTCGCTCCGCGCGCCGCGTGGTGGCTTCCCGCAGCCGGGGAAGGAGCGGCTGCGTCCAGGGTGCTCCGGGTTCCCCCTTCGCGCGCGGGTTCTCAGGGTTGGGTTTCTTGCGGGGGGTTCTTGCGACCGCGCCCACACTGTGCGCTATGATGTCGGAGTCCCCCACTGAGGGGTTCTGAGTGGACCGCGCGCCCGATGAGGGCTGAGAGCCAGCCCGCACCCTCGGGGCATCCCCTCAGGATCGACCTGCTACCCCCCGCCCCCGCTCACACCAAAACGTGTCCAGCCTCATTCTCTGCAACGCCCCCCCCTCCACCCCCCGCCCGAAAAACGCCAGCCCTTTTTCTGCTCATCAAGCGAATTGATGATCGCCGTACAGTCGGCCCAGATTAGTAGGTCGACCCTGCCAAATCAAGGGTACCCTTGTGTCCTGTGTCTCGCGCCCCGTGCCTCCTACACTCCTGTGGCAATGTGGCCCTCGGAAGGGTCTTGTGTCCTCTCGCGTGTCCTGTCCAATCGAGTCCGACTGAATGCGCGCTTGGGTTGCACAAGCCGCGCTAGCTTCCCCCTCGTGGGATCCACCGCGCAGCCCACCGGCGGGCGGCGTGCGCTCGGCGCGCCCCCCGCGAGAGGAGCTCCGCGCGAGCCGCGCGCGAGGGACCCGCGCGCTGCCCTCGTGCGAGGCGCGCGCGCGCGGAGCTCCGCGCGAGCCGAGCACGAGAGACCCGCGCGCTGCCCTCGCGCGAGGCGCGCGCGCACGCCCTGCTCGGTGTGGGCGCGAGCCCCCTTCCCCCTCCTCCCCTCGCGCGGCCGCCATTGTCATTCTTTCCTTCCCCTTGCACGCCAGACCATTCGCCTGTCGGTTGCCCCGACCGATTCGCCTCACGCTGGTGCGGACTCGACGTCTGCCAAACCACCGCAACCCAACCGGAAAGCCCCAATGTGGCCCCCTTTCCCGCTGGGTGGGGGCGTCGGGGAGCTCGGGTCTTCGGGCTGGGTTGGGGTGGTCCGGGAAGTCGTCGCGGACCGCCCCTGCCTCGCCGCCGACGAGAAATCATTGTGCGCGAGCCCCGCGCGAGCCCCATGCGAGGCCCCTCGCGGGCCCCGCGCGGGCCCCGCACGAGCCCTGTGCCAGGCCCCGCTCGGGCCCCGCGCGGGCCCCGCGCGAGCCCCCTGCGAGCCCCGCGCGAACTCCGCGCGAACCCCGCGCGAGCCCTTCGCGAGGCCACGCGCGAGCCCCGTGCGAGCCCCGCGCGAAATCCGCGCGAGCCCCGCGCGAGCCTCCCGCGGGCCCCTGTGCGGGGTTTGCGGGGCTCGCTCGGGGCCCACGTGCCTCTGCCACGGCGGCATCCACAGTGTTTCGGAGATGGGTCTGCTTCACGTGCCAGGCACTGTTCGGCGACGGGGCGATGCTTGTTTGACGTGCGGCAAACCCAGAGTCGTGTCGTGGACCATTGGATTGGCCCGGCCCTGGTCCGCAGCATTTTGGCGGCGGTTCTGGCCGTGGCACTCGCGGGGTTCGCGCTCGATGCTGCAGGACCCACGCTGGGTGTCGCTGGGCCCCTTTGGAGGTCGTACGGGGCTCGCCTCGTCCTCTTCGCTGGGTTTGCGAGGAGCTCGCGCTGGGTTCGCGCGGGGTGGGGCACACGGCTCGCGCGGGCCTCGCGCGGGCTCGCCCCGCGGGGCTGGGCTCGCTCGCGGGGCACAGGCGGGCGCAGTGTGGAGCTGCGACAAGTCTACGCGGCACTGGCACGAGCTCTTCCTACGCATCCCTGCGACACTGCCACGCGGTCGCCGTGCGCAGC